GTACTTCTATTTATATACTTGAGGTATAAAACATGTAAATGTGTGTGTGTATATATATGTGCACACATAATATATAAAAGTATATATAAGTGTACAGTTAGACTGTTGCTTTGCCTGATTTTGAGTGTTAATGCATTGAGTGTTTATGTATAGAAAGCAGAACTGTGGTTCCATGAGGAATCTTCAACATAGGGTGCCAAAGAATCTGGCTGAAAATTGAGGTTATTAATGTGTAGAGGAAAAGAAAAAAATCCATTAGCAGAAAGGGCAGTGGGTATTGATGGACATCAAGATCAAAAACTAACTCAGAATTGAATGGAGAACGTAGAAGTGCCATGATCCACGTTGAGGAGGAATAGTCCTTGAGGATTTTTAGGAAAGCTTTATTTTTGGACCTGGAGGAGGGAGGGTGGGAACGTGCTGGTATAAAACTATGTAAGCCAGTACAAGCAGAAACGTTCCAAAGGTTCATGTGGTACTGGCAGCCCAGAGCACAGGGCTGTGCACCCCCTGAGAGAACAACTGAGGGTGTCAGTGACGGGGCTGTGTCCCTTGTGGCGGCTGTAGGAGCCTTGTTGGGCAGAGTGGGTTGCAGTAACAGCCGGAGCTGCTCTGGGAGTCCTTACCTGGAGCGAGACATGGTCGAAGCCTTGGAGAAACAACAGCTTGCAGGACCATCTTGGACATGTGTGTCTGCCCCTGTAGCCAAGGGCTGTCTGGGTCTCCAGGAGTCTTGAACGACACCAGTTTCTAAAACATTAGGAAGAAAAGTCATTCAGAAATAGGAATGGCTCTAAACTGAGGAGGAATCTCAATGAAATCGGAGCTATTTGTGAATAAACCCAGCAGGACTTTGCTTAGTTGCCAGGGGCTTGTGATTTCCTCTGAACTTGATCTGTTCAACGGTTAGAGATTGTGTCAAATTCTTTCTCCTTCTTGTCTAGATAAAATACTGCTTTACTAGATATTTGTGCTTCTGCTTTCACTGTAGGTAGCCAACTACGGCGTAGGAGGCCAGTATGAGCCTCATTTTGACTTTGGAAGGGTAAGTCCTATTTTCTGTCTCGTCCCTTTCTTCTTCACACGCGCTGTGTTTCTCTTTTTCAGGTGGCAAATTATGGAGTGGGAGGACAGTATGAGCCCCACTTTGACTTTGCACGGGCAAGTAAAGAAATGGAGGAGAGATAGTGATCTGGTGACGCCTCTCGGCTGTGGCACCACTTCTTTTTATTACACCTCATAGTCCTTCAGCTTCTCTAATCTGTGTTAGTGGAGAAAGCCCTCTAAAGCACCACCTGAACTGATAAAACAAGAGAGGCATTATATGAAACAATGTTTGCTTCAGAAACATAATTTAAAAAGAGCTATTTCAAAAGCAGAGAATTGAGTCTGCTCAACAGAGCAAAGGCCATTAGCTCCATTCTAAAACTAGAGAAACACTTAGAACCAGGGCGTCACGGGCAGCCTAGCACCACTCGCCTTGCTGGCTACTGCGCAACGCGGAGAGAGGACTTTGTCCCCCAGGCTGAGACAGAGGCATCTTCCATGCTGAGGACATCTGAAAATATAAATGCTCTGTGCTGACTTATACATGCTGATTGCTAACAGCCTCCTGGAACTGCCGAGGCCTGCTAAGATCAACTCGTGTCCCTGTCCTCGCTTTGTTTAGTTGATTTAAATTCCTAACCTGCTTCTGTTCCAGCTTACAGCTCAGGTTGCTGGAAATAATGCCACTGAATTCAGTTGGTTATTTATTGGGCACCCTTACATGTGATTTAATACCTTCCGATTAACCTTACGCTGATGATCAAATCCACCAACTGTTAATCAGAATCTCTGCTCTTTAAGCACATGCTCAGATGATTAACAGATTTGGGGTTGAAATGCATGGGTTACTTTCCAGAGTAACGATGGCTAAAACTTGAGCACAAATACTGGCCGCAGTGGGTAGGCTCTAAACATAAAAAGAAACTGCGACAGGAATTTACTCTTGTAACCAAGGCCCAGGGATATAAAAGGGCTGGAGTAGCTGCCGCAGGCGCTCTTTAATGGATGGCTTTTAGCAGAGCCCAGAGGTGTGTGTGCCAGCGAGGGGCACGGAACAAGGACAGCCCAAAGCTCCAGCAGCAGTGTGACTGGCTGAGCCGTGAGCGCCGGCAGCAGGAAAGGGGAGCCCCTCCTGGGAGAGCTCGGCCCCAGCATGAGGCCCAGAGAGCCTGGGCTGTCTCCCTCTGGCCCGTACCCCAGGAGGGATGAGTGTGCAACTAAACAATTAACTCCGTGGCTGTGAAGGAGATGCGTACTAATTTTCAGACAACTAAGTTGTTCTTAACCATTAGCTGCGTGGCTCCTGCCTTCCCTGTCCTGTCAACTTCTTCAATGCCTGCTGTATTTGAACTAATAGGTGCACTCGTGTGCCTTCCAAGTAGAGGGAATGAATCTGTTTTTCTGCATGAGTTTGTCTGCTGCTGGCGCAGCAGCTGCGTGTCTCTGACTCCTCTACGTAATCAGAATGAAATGTTTATTAATGCTGCTTGCTTTTGTTCACAGAAAGACGAGCCAGATGCTTTTAAGGAATTGGGAACAGGCAACCGAATTGCTACTTGGTTGTTTTATGTAAGTGATACATTTCTGTCACATGCTATTGCACAAAATACCTATCCCTGCATAGTCACTACACTTGAATGGTTCCCTTAATTTTTTTTGTTGAAGTCCCTCACAAATGAGGGCAGCTAATACCTTAATGGTAAATATGGGTATCTTGTTACTATAAATAATTGTTCTCACATGTGTTCCTAGGGAGGGTTTAGATTTTTTGACTGTCTGTTCACTTTTGTATCTGCCTACGCATTTATAGCATGCTTGTTGCCACAACATTGAGCATGTGGCACTGTGGGACAAGGCTGCCTACCCCACTTTGTACTGAGTGGGTGACTTTTAGCCTATTTTATTAGGCCATCAGTTGCACAGTCTTGGCTCTCTAAGGGGGAGGTAAAAAGTAAGTTTTTCAGTGCCTCAATTACATTTTACTGAAGTGGGTGCTTTGGGAGTGCTTTGCCTTTCAACTTACCTGAGCCATGTTCACCTTCTCAGATGAGCGATGTGTCAGCAGGGGGAGCTACCGTCTTCCCTGAAGTAGGAGCCAGTGTGTGGCCTAGAAAGGTAAGCTGGGTTTTGGAGCCGCCTTAGCCCTCCCTCTCTGCATCTCCCCAGCTAAGGCAGCCTGGGCAGGTCCGTGTTGGAAAGGAAGCTCCGAGATGAGCTCCAGGGGCTGGGAGAGCCAGGGCCTTGTGCTGTCAGGGCTGCTCTCACCTGCACTGGGCTTCCTCAACGTCCAAAACGTAACTGACTGACCTGCTTCTCACATACAAAACATTCAAGGAGAACAGTACTTCAAAACTTTTTTGTTGTTAATATTCAAAACTGCTTTTTATTCCTTTGGTGGTTTTATATGTTTGACTGGGGTTTTCCACCGGGAGTCCTGTCTGAAATTCTGTGTTCCTGCTATGGCTTCTTCCTCTGAAGGGTTAGGAATGAGGTCTGCCTTTGCTAACCTGCTGCTCATTTTTAGGCAGCTATCCTGCTTTTCTAGAAGTGGTCATGAATTGAATTGGATAGGCTTATAGAAAAATAAATAAAAACCAATGATACACAGGAAACTCATTCTTTAGAAAAGCAAGTTTTAGAAAATGGAAGAGGGTCTTCAATTTGTAAGGCACATTTGAAATACAGACACCCACACCTTTATGATGGAGCAGTGCTGAGGTGACACCAGTGTGTGTCACTGAGCGAGGTGCTGAATCTGCACTGCGCTTTTCCAGGGCACAGCTGTATTCTGGTACAACCTCTTCCCCAGCGGAGAAGGCGACTACAGCACACGGCATGCAGCCTGCCCAGTACTAGTCGGAAACAAATGGGGTAAGTAGCCCTCAAGTTGTTCCGAGTGCCTCTGAGTGGGACGGTCAGCCTTTCCTTGTGGGTTTTTTTCCTTTTCCTGTTCTTTGGGAATTCATGAGGGGATAAAAAGCAGCCAAAACAGTTAATTCCTTTAAAAATGAAAGATGTAGTACTAGGGAAGTACTTTTAATAATAGTCTTCTCTAATTTTGCAGCTATTGGAAGTGTTTTTTCCCCTCTTGGATTTACTAAACCAGCTTCCGCCTTTGTGTGTGTGGGTTAAAATGATCTTTTGCTTAGGTGAGACTTCTGTTTTAAACAGAAGCTGTTGCTACACAGGTGCAGTGATCACTTACCTCTGTTTTTGCAGTATCCAATAAATGGCTCCACGAACGGGGACAGGAATTCCGAAGACCGTGCACGTTATCAGAGCTGGAATGATGCAGACTCCTCCTCCTTCTCTTCTGTTTTCCATTTGTGTAAAATGCACAGATCTCCTACAGTTTACAATTGACTAACACTCCACTACAGGTTCAGTCTTCAACTACACCAGTGTTTCATCTGTGGACAAAACAAACATGCTTTAGTTCCCTCTAAAATACCCCTTCATGGTTTTATACACAGAATATATTGATTTTGAAGGTCTAAGAGTGTTGCAGAAAAAAAAAAAGGGACAAACTACAGAGCAACAGCTAGCAGTGGTGCCGCGTGTGCTGTGCCCTTCACCAGCCCCACTACTCAGCACTGACTGCCAGGGCTTGTTTGCTTTGGAGTCCTCGCGCCTCTCAGGGTGCTAAGGGGGCAGGAAATGATGACCAGTGTCACGGGAGGACTCTTTTCTCGGAAGGCTGTATTAAACCAGTTCCTATTCCCGAATACCCAGACGTTGGACTCCTTGCTCGCGTAGCGTGCCTGACCACTACTGTTTAAAAACTGTGGGTGTGCTTCGTGCTGCTCTGGGAGCAGGTTAGCACTGTCTGTTGTAACTTGCTCCGCCATTTCCACAATAGCGCAGCTTTGGGAACTGGCTTCCTGTTTAAGCCTCTGGTGAATTGGGGTCTTACCCTTAAGAACGTGAGCCAGCAGCTCTGCTTGCGCAGAGGAGACGCTCGAGTAGTGCTGTCACCTGCACCACAGCACGTGACAATTACAGTCCATCTTCCCTCCGTGTTGTGGATTTTTTTTTCAATAAGTTTGTCCACATAACAAGGAACAGATGCTGCTTTTATTCTGTCTTAGTAGTAAACTCTTAAGTCTACTCCTTGGGCAGTGGGGATGGGAACTTTGCCATCTTCATTCATCAGAGTAACTGTGCCTTAGGATACTGGAATTTCAGACTGGTTGCAAGACATCAGGTGATGAGGCAAGAAAACTCAGTTGCCACAGAACACTCTTACTGCTGAAAAGCCACCTTTGTCCTCTCAGTTCTGAGTGCTTTTGAGAAACAGATGGCCTATTTATAATTCTCAACCTTATTTTAGATGCTTTTTATTTTGAATATGTTTTTTCTGTTGTGGATGCTGAGCACAAGCCAGAGCCCTGTCATACCTGTAATCACAGGATGCGATAGAGCAGAAGGAGCTAAGAGCAGGCAGAGGCCACAGGGCAGGTGGGAATCATTTCAACAGGCTGGTTTTCAGCAGCAGCATTTATAGCAAAACCTCCAAATACTCCACGAGCATGAGGAAAGGATCCAAGCGAGCTGCACCAGGCTCTCCTGTCTCAAAACAGCCAAGTTTTCTGGATGGTGATGGTTTTACTGATGTAGGGGTCAAAGCATGAAGTCTTTACCAAGGAAAAAATTCCAATTTCAGTCAATTGGATTTTTCTGCTTCAATAAAATCTTGCACATTGAGCCAAAAGGCAGAAGAAACTGACTATTAACATGATAGAAGTACCTCTGGAGCAGCGAGAGTACAGGGGAAGGTACTGCAGCACACTTGCAGAAGGTGTTTTTACAAAAGACACTTAAAATCTTTGCTGGTAATTGCATCATTAAATTTCTAAACCTATTAGCAGTGGGACCTACTGAACTGCTCCACTGTAGCCCTGCATCTTTGTGTTTTGCCAGTGATTTTTTCAGTGACAGATAAAAAACAAGAAAAATAAAAAAGGTTCCCCTCACTGCTGTACTGCTCATTTCATCAAAACTGCTAGTAAAATAGAGCAGTGGCTGATATAGATTCAGCAAAGCGAGTTATGAGAACATACTTTTTGTTTGCTAGATTGTAAATATTAAAAAGTGCAGCATATTTCCACTTACCTCACTTTTCTCCCTTTTACATGGTGTCAGTAAATTCATCTCCACTCTTATCTGTGGTTTTCTCCTTCCCATCCTGTTGGCTCTTTCAGACTGTTTCTTTGGGTATTTATGGCTGCAGGTACGTCCTGCCCCGTTCCTGCAAGAATGCAATGGATAACATGGAGTTAGGAGTGTTATTCTGGGTCTCCCGCTATCTTCAAGGCCTCTGTAAATGCTTGTCTAAAAGCCAATCTGGGGTTGCTAGCAAGCACAAAATAATCAATATATTATCACCATGGACATGTTCAGTAAACAGCCTCTAGTTTTGCTATTACAGAAAACTTTTTTTTTTCCTAAAGTAAGCAGAGTTCCTTGATTAGAAATAATAGCTAAAAATTGTGGCATTTAAGTAAGGAAAAAGACAAATAATAGGCTGAAACATGCCAGTAACTGCTCTAGGTGCTGTCTCAATGGAAGAAAACACCATGGTCTCCTATAGATTGGAGTAAAAGAGGGAGGGTTGGAGTGATGAGTGAGTACAGTTTGGTTGTACCAAGTTGTGACTCCCTATCTCTGTTGAACCAGCACCAGAAGAGGAGGGGAAACGTCAGGGAAGCTGTTTTGCAGTGTCTGCCCCGGGCAGTTTGCTGACCACTTCACTCCCTCATCGCACCTGCTGCTCAGTATTTCTAGTGTTAATATCCTACTAAGAGGCATTGTTTAGGGGGTTAAAATATTGCAGTGCATGACTTTGAAATCAGTGAATTCCTCACTGACTTGCAGTTCTTCAGAGAACAGAAATGATTTGTTTTTTGCCAGTAGAAAAATTTGCTTGGTTTAAAAAGAAAAATATAAATCCCGAAAAGCACAAATTCAAGTCTGCTGAGGCACATGAGACTGAAACCTTCCAAGCCAGATGATTAGAACAGAAAGGGTAAGCTTTTTAAAGCTTTTTTTTAAGGCCACAGACAATCTGTATTTCGTCTTTCCCCACACACCTAACATTAAATGTGTAAATAATGACACAGGCAGTGTTGTTGCTTTCTGCCTTATCCGTTCATTTCTCAAAGGGCTTTTGGATCAACAGTTGGCTCCTGTGTGAATCTAGTTTTGTATTAAAGATGATCAAAAACTGTCTGGCTCATGGTGACTGACAATTGCGAAACCACTTTTTTTTTTTTTTGTAGTAAAAGTTTTTAAAGTTAAAAAAAAAGGGGGGCTTAAAATAAAAGCCACTGTCCTTAGCAGTGGAAAAAAAAAAATCTTTCCGCATCAGACCCTCGCTGTATAGGGGTGTTGCAAGCCTGGAGATACAGACGTTTCTCTCCAGATGTGTTTTCTCGAGACTAAACTCACTTCACAGCATAACCTCACTGAGCTGGTGCAGAGGATGCTCCTGTCACAATTAAACAGCTCCTCACACCTCAGCGGCTAAACTGGAATCACACTGCACTAATGGACTGGAAGAGTCCATTTTGAATCCAGAAGATGGAAGAAAAGGCTGGACTAAAACTGTGTTGTACACCCCCCCAAAAAAAAACCTCGAGAACAAGTCAGGCTCCTCTGAAGGAGCGGGTGTCTAAGTGCCTTTGTCTCACACGTGCTGATTTATGGCAGCAGCTGCTCTGGGATTGATTAGGGAGATGGGACTTGCACAAGCTCCTCTATTCTATCCTGGCTGGGGACTGCCAACAGGCAGGGCAACAGTGTCAGTGGCTAAAAGCCCCTTTTTTTGGGGATGATGAAGTCTTGCGCTGTCTGAAGCCAAGAGTTCAAACAAAGAGCCAATCTCAGCAGTCTGGGCAGGGGTGACAGACCTGACTTTCCTGCCACACGAACACCAGCACCGTGAGGCAGGGACGGAGCGCTCACACGCAGCAAGTTCGACTCCTTAGCCAAGGCGTCTGCTGCGGGGTCACACGCGGGTGCCGCTCCTGCACTTTGCCCTTTCGGAAGGGCAGCACTCGTAGCTTGTGGCCATCAGCAACCTGCAAAGAGAAGAGCAAGGACTGGTCAGGAGCCCTAATCCCTGTGTCTGCGGAACAGAACAGTTAAGCTCAGCTTGCAGTTAGGCAACTGCCCTTCCCACGTGGCCACAGGTGGAGATGCTGGAGCCGTGTTTATGAGTGAGGACGTGCAGCACAGGAGGCTGAAATGATGGGTCAGGAGTCTCCTGCCAGGGAGTGGGTCTTTAACCACACACCCGTCCTCCCCACAGCAGCTGAACTCTGACCTGCCTTGCTTAGGAACTCGGAGGTTTCATCATCCAGCTGCTTTTCTTGTTCCAACAATGAGTGACTCATCTGCCTCCCAAGCCAGGCTTTGACCCAACAACAGATTGCCCAAGAACCTCGGCTGAAAGCAGCCCAGTCCCTTTTAGGCCATGCTTTAGTATCAGTCAGCAACTTGCCAAGTCTGATATGGAAAGAGCTCCATTCGCCACACTCCTTCCTTCTCGACATCCCTGATGGAACACATAGGGAAGAATCCAAGCAGAGCCCCAACATGAAGCCCTGTGTATAAATCACATTGCGCTCTACCAAAAAAAAAAAAAAAAAAAAAAGGCACAAAGGCAAGGGGGGAGAGTGTTGCATGTGTTAGTTTTATTGCATCCAACATTTTTTGTTGCCTTTAAATCTTGGAATTTGAGAGCAACCAAGCTATTTGCAGCTGGATTCCAAATGCCTCCAGAGAACAGTGTGGAGGGTGGAAGGAAACAGGAGGAGGAAAGAGGCTGGGTCATCCCCAGGGCAGGGTGAAGGGGGTGCCACATTCTCGGTGAAGCAGCAAAAGACACCTAAGTCCCAAACCTTTGCACCCAGATAACAAGTGCCTAACAGGGACATCTCTGATTCCTCCTTGTTCAGACTCTATGCGCTACTGGATACGCCCCCCCCTCCTCCGTTGCCCTGCTTAGTTTCCCTAAAAAAATTCCAATTGATTTTGCACATGGTGCTGGCTGCCTCTGCGCAGAGCCCCCCCGCCCAGGGCTGCACGGCCTGCGCACTGTAGCACAGACAGCTCACGGCGCAGTCACTGCGCTTCGCCTTCCCTGCAATCCCGCCACCGCCTTCCCCTCGCTGTCCGCATTCGACAGCACATGGATCAGCCACTGAGGAATAAGAAAGTCATTTTCTGCAATTAACTCCAGAGCAACTGTAAAGCGCTCAGCATAAAAGCACAGCGCAAGCACAGCCACCCAGTGTCTCTGCAGGATGTTTCCAAGTTGCTTCTGAAAGCTGTTTTGGTCTTTTTTACATTAGTTTCTGCCAAACTCTTCCTGAGGGCTGGGAGCTTCCACCCAGCACGTCGCAGAGGGCGTCGATTCAGCCAAGAGGGACAAGAACCGCCCCGCGGAGCGCAGCACAAAGCACGGCACTGCTGGACCCGGTTTTCCCTCCAGCAGCACGTGCTGTGCACAACTTCTAATGAGCATGGCCCTTTTTTAAAAAAACACTTACCTGAGAATCCTAGATAGAGCTGTGGCCCCTCCTCCTCATCCCATATGTGGAACATGGGAGCAGGCTGCAGAAGGACGCAGGCAGTCAGGTGCTGCAGAGCTCTGTCATTTCAGAAGCAGCGGTACCGCTGCTGTCTCCTGCAACACAACGAAACGTCAGGATCTGTGCTCACGTTTGCTCGGTATTTGGAAGCGCCACTACCCGTCTCTCTAGAGAACCTCCACAGGGAAGCCCGGACACTTCTGCAAACAGAGCTGGCCTCTGAAAAGCTGGCTCTTGGAGGCAGGCAGTCCCCCAGAGCTGTTGTTTCTGGAAGGCCGTGTCGTGCTGGCACACTCAGAAGCCTTGGACACAAGCAAGGAGTGCTCCTCTGTCTGCCAGGGGACCACTGCTCTCACTGCCCCAGCAGCAGGAAGCCTGGAGGGAGAGTGCCCCTCCACCTCCCAAGAGGCAGGGGACAGAGGGAGGCAGCCTGGGCAATGGGAAAGGCCAGTGCCCTTCCTGCTCCCTATGACCGCGAGGGGCTTCAGGGACCCCACTCCAGCCCCTCCATGAATGGCTTTCCCCTAGAATGGGGACATCACCTTCACATAGCAGCGGAAGCCTCGGCACTGCAAAGGGTGACCTGTTCCAGCGGGATTGCACCAATCCAAATCCCAGTGTTTCTCTGTAACACGAACTTGGAGCAAATCTCCGCAGTGCACTTTGCTCCCTGATTGCCGTGACCTCATCCCAGCTCCCCCCGCGGTGTTTAAAGTCCAGGGAGAGGGGTGCTCACCTGCCCCGCTCCTCCCTGCCTGCACAGCCGTGCGCGCAACGGCTCCAGGGCCCTGCACTGCAGCATGAGGCTGTTTTTCAAGGCAGCAATTCTGTGCCTGGGCCTGGGCTTAGGGCAATGCACTGAGGAAGCCACCCACAAGAGCACTGTCCACAGCACTCCCACAGCGGAGTCCTCCTCCTCCTCGGACTGGGGTATTGGGGTCATCCGCAACAGCTTCGAAGCAGTCAACAGCTACTTTGATTCCTTCTTGGAACTGCTCGGGGGCAAGAATGGTGTTTGTCAGTACAGATGTCGCTACGGTAAGTGAAGGGGATCTCCACCCCATGGGCTCGAGGCAAAATACTCCACAGCTCAGTCTGCTGACTACTGCAGTTGCTACAACAGACACTATCTACCAGTTCAGGGTGTGAGCCCTCAGGATGGGTGATTTATAAAAGCATCATGGCTATGACTTTCATGGGTTGTTGTATTCCGCATACGCTTTGTTACCTTCCAAACCTGATGCTTACGGGGCCCTCAGTGCTATGGTGCCAGCTCCACTTCTGCACTCCTGCTGGCTCCTCTCTTCCTGCTCTCTCCCTACTTTCCTATATGTGAAAACACACAGCACTTGTGTCTGCAACCTGCCATCTACGGTGCTTGTCAGAGAAAAGTCACTACAGGGAGACACAGCTTCTCTTCTGGTGCCACTGCAGGGAAACCTAATCCACATCTTTCCTCTGACCAAGAACAGAGTCATCTTGAGATTACTGTGTTCTTTGGGATAGTGGCACAAAAGAAGATATGATGCAGGTCTTACAGAAGGACCAGTACGTAACCACGCTGCTCAGCAGCCTGAAATGGAGCAGAGTAGGCAGCAAGGGAAGGACACAGAGCCTGTGCAGGCCCGACTCAGAAAGGCTTGTGAACGTCCCGTGTTCGCAGCAACCTTCGGAGCGCCATTATTCAGCAGCTGCAAGCTGAGTAATAACGTGGGTAGGAGGAGGGCAGATAACAGGAAGGTGAACGAGACTAGCCATCACCATGGAGGAACCTTTAGTACTTAAGGTGGAATGAAGAAGCCGCTGTTTGCTTTGGACTTTAGAGGTTTATCAAACATGGAAGAGTTTGATTTGTCCTGGGGGCAGGATTCACACCCACTCATTCACCGCTGCCCCAGCCAGCACCTTCCCCCCCCCTGCTGCACTCCCCCCAGGTTCATCCCCACCTGAATGCTTGGACAAGATGCTCCTGAGCAGATAATTTCAACCACCCTCCTGCCCTGATCATTGCCTTTCACAAACTTTATGCTTTGAAGATGCCCCACCAACTCAGTTAGCCTGCACACATCTCATTTCTTCCAGAAAGCGATGCACTACCCGAGGCCTGCAGCAAGCCCATCACCCCAGCGTGGTGGCCATGTCACCTCCGCTCTAGCAGCCCCATGGCCGCACAGGGCACCCATCCCCTCAGCTCCGCGGCTCCGCAGCAAGCCGGGGACCTCAGCCCAGCAGTCCCGTGTCCTCGGCCCCCCGCCCCAGCCCGGCGGCCGTTGCCTCCGCCTCGCGCCCCGACCGTTACCTCTGCCTCGTGGCCTCAGGCACGCGCCTTGCCCATCACGCCCAAGCGGCAGCGCCGATTGGCTGCTGCTGCTCCGGGGGCGGGCGCAGGACGCAGGAGCAGCCAATGGGCGCGAGACCCCCGCGGCCGTTAGAGCCGTTAACGGTCGCTGAGGGGCTGGCGGGGGAGGGCGTAAAATGGCCGCCGGGGCCTTACTATGGGTCCGTGCTCATGGTAAGGGGTACCAACCTCTTCATCATCCCCATGGGATCCCACTTGCTCTGTCCCCGGGGCTCGCAGTGAAAACAGTGCCTTGTTCTCTTGTTGCAGCTGGTGGATGCTGAAAATAGCTTTTTTTTTTTTTTTTTTTTTTTCCTGTGGTAAAGGTCAGGGCTCACCCATAATTGTCGTGTCCATCTTCCTGAGCACTGTGGCTCCTTGGGTGCTGGACTCTCCTTCAGCACTCAGCGCAGCCTGACAGGCAAACAGCTTGATGGATGGCCCCCCTGAATGGCACTTTAGGATTACACAAATATTTGCTGGCAGGTGCCTACTCCTCCTTACAAAACCTGTCCAGCAACTCAAGGGGAAAACAGGCTGACCTGGTGTTAAATTCCTCACCTGCCTCCTTAGCTGCCTGGCCAGTGATTCCCAGTGTCCCTCCTTAGCAGGTAGCCCCATCACAGCAGGCACCTGACCCAGTACAGCCGGCTAAATAGTAAATGTGACCTACTGACTTCCTTCTCCTGCACAGACGGACTTGTAGGAAGGGGAAGCAGTCGATGGCAACAAGGCACGGTGTAGATGTAGTTCATGTAGAGTCAGAGAGGCCTTTTTGTGCTTTGCTTCTGTTTCAGTGTTAGCTAGAAAACCAGGCAAGGGAGAGAGGTTAATTACGGTGCCTTGCACTTTATCTAGCTGAGAAAGAGTTCACAAAAGTGCACTTAATCATTTCTAAAGCTTTGCTTTTCAGAGAGGAGGGGGCAGGTTTCTGGCAAGGAGTCATCTTTCAGGCACTTCCATATTGTGTATCACTACAATCCTCATGTGAGCTATCTTTTTCTAAAGCCACATTTCTAAAATACTATAATTTAGCTTTACCTTTTGTTTAATGGAAAGTTTCTTCTGGAAACACACTGTTTCCATACCCCAAAACATGCTCACTCCTGCTCTGACTTTGCCACCTTACCCCATAACTGACTACATGCGGGAGGAACAGAACTTCTTCCATATTACAAGTCGATCCTGAAAATATGATCCCACACATATATCCCAGGCCTACAGAGCTACAAGTTTATCTCTAGAGAGCTTTATCCTGGTGTGCGGCCACTTAAAGCCTTGGTGCATTTTGAATTTTCATAAGGATGCAGAAAATCAGTTATGAGCATTTCACAGCTGGATGGGATTTCAGTTTCTTGTTTGCTTGGTGTAAATCTGTTGTTTAAACCAAGCAGCTCCAGCAGTTCTTTAATTTAGAAGGTGCTGAGGACATTCCTGCATACGACCTTCTGAGGCATTTGGAAAAATGAGCCTTTTGCCTGTGTCACTTTTTCAAGAACACAGTAGATTTATGGCTGTATTACCACTGGTACTTCAGGTACCTTGACAGAAAAACGGGGGAAAACAGTCTTAAATAATTATCAGCGCTGCCAAGAAGAATACAGTGGAAATAGAGCTTGAAAGAACCTGACCCTGTCCTAAGGGCTAAATTAGACCTAATTTATATCTCTGTACGTTCTCTAAGGGTGCTTAGCAAAGCAGAAATTTAACCCGAAACACAACTTTGCAGCAGGGGATGCAAACCAGGGGAGCCACCTGCCCCTCCCTGCTCTTTGGTGCCATTTCCTAACATTTTTCTTTCTTTCTCAGGGAAAGCCCCGATGCCACGACCTCATTATAAACCTCAGGAACCAAATGGCTGCAGCTCCTATTTTCTGGGGCTCAAGGTACCCCAAAGTGTATGTACTGCCTAACCCATCGTTCCTAACTGATAACAATCTGCTAACAACAATAACCAACTACGATGTGGGGAGGGGAAAGCGCCAGTGTGGAGGAATGTGTTTTATCCAAGCCTGGATCCACCCCAGTGCCCCTGTAACAGGGAACGTGCTCAGTGACTTACCACGACGCACCAACATCACCCTGAAAGTCTTCTCTACCCTTGGCACTCCATGTCCTTCCCAGCCTCTTGCTTCCCCTGAGCACTGGAATAAACCCGTGGCCTTTAATGCTGCATCGCACTTGTGATTTTAAAGGCAATTAATGAAATCAAAGTAAATCGGAAGCATCAGGAAAAAGCCCTCCTGGGAGGCTTTAAGAGCAGGAATCGCAATTTAGCTGGTGCATTAGGGCTGCCCGTGAAGTCTGCAGCAATTAAGCACTTACCTGCTCTGGAAAATCCTCCTCTTAATAGCCAAATTTTCAATTAGATTAGCTCTTCAAGCTACATGTTATTGCAAAGCTTGGAGACATTTCTGTGGTAACTCCTCCTTACCTGGGCAAAGAAAAACTCATCTCCTAATTATTAGCTGAGGAAGGTCAAAATGAGGAAGGCTCTGGGATATGCTCATGACTCCAGTCTCTCCAGAGACAAGTCCTGTCTCCTGTGGAGAGGAGAACAGAGCCTCCCAAATCCAAATGTGCTGGATCCAGGTTTCACGAGCACATCTGGGAGAGGAACGTTGCATCGACAGCACCTCCAGCAGAGGAGCGAGGCCAAAGAGCAGGTCGTGGCCAGGGTGACATTTCTTTCCTTCCCTCCCCCAGTTAGATTTGGGCATCCCCGCCATGACCAAGTGTTGCAACCAGCTGGACGTTTGCTACGATACCTGCGGGGCCAACAAATACCGCTGCGACGCCAAGTTCCGCTGGTGCCTCCACTCCATCTGCTCGGACCTCAAGCGCAGCCTGGGCTTCGTCTCCAAGGTGGAAGGTGGGTTTGTGTCCCCTGCGAGAGCAACGGAGGGCAGGGAGGAGGGCTGTGCACGGCCAGCCCGGCCTCTCATGGTCACCCTCATCCACGTGCCCTCTTGCAGCCAACCCCCTTCCTAGCTCTGGAGATTTTCTGCCATTTTTTCACCTCTCTTTGGTTCAGCCCAAGCTGATGGGCTCTGTCAAGTTAAGGTGGGGCAGAGCTCACGCTCTGTGCCTGGCCCAAGCAGGCGCTGGGCTCTGCGAGCACCTCATCCCGGTTGCCAGACGACGCACGAGTGTTGCTAAAGCAGCCCCCAAGGCCTCCTGCCCAGTTGCATTGGGGTTAGTCGAAGCCTCCGTTTCCCCTCAGACAGTTGTGGGGAGAGCATAGGCAAACCTGCTTGCTAGGCCCTGCTACGTGCAGCAGCCCACATAACCCATAAGCAGGAAAGCACAGTGCCTCTCCTCGGCGGCACAGACTTGCCACGGCAGGGATAAAAGAGCCCCAGATTCAGCAGAGGGGGAGAACTACTGGGTTTATAACAGCGTGGTAAAGACAACCCACATTCCCACCTGCAAACACCTCGGATAGCTCCGAGTGCCTGTTCCTGACGTGCGTTTCTCCGGCAGCTTGCGAATCCGTCGCAGACACGGTGTTCAATGCCGTGTGGACCCTGGGCTGCCGGCCCTTCATGAACAGCCAGCGGAGCGCCTGCATCTGCAGCGAGGAAGAGCGCGATGAGCTGTGAGGAAGAGCAGAGCGCCGTGGCGCCCGGGAGCCTGCTGCCAAGCGCCCCCTCTCCCACGTGGCACCGCTTGCCAGCCAGGACGCGGGCGAGCAACGTGCCTTGGCCACAGCTCCCAGGCAGAGGGCTGTGAAAGGAAAGACTGGCTATGGAGAGGAGGCAGCGCTGCCTGTTGTCCGCCACAGCCACAGTCCAACAGCCCTTTCCCTTTCCAGGCCTGTCAGACTGAACCATCCAAATGCCAGTTTTACCTACAGCTGCAAGCAGAGTGCAGTGCTGGTCATGAACGAGAGGCTTTGCTTGTGTGCTGGCCTCAGGCACACGTGTCTGTTGGCTCCCTCTGCCCCTTACCTTTCTAATTTCCAATATTTTGCAATTTGCATGAGGTTTCTGCAGCCCTTGAAAACCCCAGTCCATGACCACATTATTTAAACATTCCCATCACCACCACTGGTGCTGGACTGACAAGGAGGGATAATTTGCTCTCCGTGTGTTGCTCACACACCCATCCTTGACATTTTCCATCCCATCATTATGCCTCCTGACAATCCTCCCTACTCAAGTGCCTGACGGATCCTAAAACTCTTCAAAACATCCAGGGATTTGGTAAATGTGGGAAGGACTCTAGGTAGCTGTGATATGGGCAGAAAGAGACCAAGGCCCTGGTTGGAGCTGAAACACAGCAATTTGCAGCATCTCTTGTGCATCTCTAGGCCTCTCCGAGTCTCAGGAAAGGCAGCTGCTTCTTATTTTCAGCCAGATATGAACTGCATGTTTAATTATTCCTCTCCTTTGCCATTTAACAAAGTTTCTCCCTTAGGTTCTGCCTTGTTTTTTCTTTTTCTTTTTTTACACAAAGCAGTTGGGTGTCACAATGTCCTCTTTTGCACAGGGGGAACAGGGGGATCACAGTTGCACTGCCTGAGATTTTGCAAAATCCTGGGGGCTTCTCTGTCAGATGGCAGGGCTTATTTGCTACCTCCGTGCAGCAAAGACTGCCAGCTGAAGAACAGTTTTCATGCTCATGCAGAATGGGGCTAATATTTCCATCTGTTATCAGGAGCTTTTATTTCAGATAAAATTAGAGTTTAAAGTGGTATTTAGAAACTCATCTACATATAACATTTGCAGACAGCTTTCATCTGCGCTTCTTGTTGAAAGGAAGTCACTGTTGGGTCTCCATGCCACGCCACATAAATCCTTCAGCAAGCCTTGCAAACATATTTATGGTTATGCTCTTCCATCTGCCACAGAAAAGTTGAGGCTACAGAAGGATAATTAAAAAAAAAAAAAAGAGTCTCTCTCTGTTACTTTTCTTGTAGTTTCTGTGGTTAAATGCATGCATGGAGCTATAAATTATTTAAGCTTTGTTCTTGCCAGGCATCTTTGCATCACGGTGAACAGTGATGAGACATTCATCTCACCCCAAGTAGCCTGAAACAACAGGAAAATAGGAAGTAGAGATGAAAATAGGAAAATAAAAACAATTGCACCAGGTGCGCCGGGATGTTTTCCATCAAGGAGGATCTTGATTTCCACCGATGGGATGCGAGGACGCCCTTTCCTAGCTGGGCTAACTCCAGTGGGGAGTGAATCTGTAATGCCAAGCTCCAGCACGGCACGTGTCTCAGAGCTGGGTGGACAGTCTGGTCATCTGCCTAAGAAATAGGTATGTTTGGCTTGGGAGAGGAAGGAAATGCTCCTCATTCCAGACTTTTCCTGCACTTTGAATCGTGCTGGTGAAATGGTACCTGTTGTCAGTTTGAAATGTGAGCACACTCATGATTAAATGATAAAATTTAAAAATTACGTCTTGCATAAACTCTATAAGCCAAAACTGCCTTCAAGAATTTAGCTCAAGCGATACCGAATTAAAGCCAAGTGATGACAGAAGAGGATATAGAAGAGAAATTGAAAGGTTCTGAACAAAATCCCTCTGTTCACAGTCAGAGACACCACTCATAAATCACAATTTCTTCATACTTTCAGACTACCTCTCATCCCCAAGCACTTTCCAGCCTGCTGCACACAGAGCAGCTGCTGAAGAGTTGCATTTTTCACTACAAAGCTAAGCCGTGGCAATCTGAAAAACCCCACAAGCTGCTTCACAGTGACAATTTTGAATCTTTAAGTGGCAGCACTGAGTCAAGAAAACCATTCAATAATCCTGTGAGGGAGAGGACCCACAAACCTCGGCTCATCTTTATTTCCACACTGCTATTTCCAGCCCCGTGCTCGCCCCCATGGCTCCCTGGGGACTTTGTTGACTCTTGCTGATATGGCCAACCCGTTTGGTCAGCGTGACCTCTCCTGCTAACAGTGCCTCAAACAGCAACCTCCAAAGACTTGGAAAAACGTTTCCATTGTGAGCAGCATCAGGGGACATTTCTTACTGTTCTGCACCAGGCACCTACCTGCCCGGGCTCTCCCTTTCCTCCTCCAGAAGGTACTGGCTAATTCGTTCTGTTTCCCAGCTCTTGTTTTATCAAAACAAGTTCATTCAGCTGCTTGAACAAAAAAAGAGACAGCAAGAAATTGTGCCTAATCGTGCGAGTGAGTCAGCAGAATCAGGAGACGCAGGGCGATGCGAGGGGGAGGCTTTTTCATTTGGTTTTCCTTTCACCTACAGTTACATGACATTGACACGAGTATCCTTCCACTTACCCCTATTTATTGTCACAGAAATATTTTAACTTAGTCTAACACACTTGCATACACACACATAATCCCAAGCCAGGAAAACACAGTCAGGAAGCCATGAAACAGAATCATGGCCATCCCAGCCCGTGAAGTGCCTGTTCCTCTTCAAAACCTCTGTCATTTGAAGTAATAAATCTGAGAAAGGGAGGACAGTTGATGTGATTTGTGACTCTTTCCAAACACCCCTGTGATGCGGGTTGAAACTCACTGCAGAAGTGATGACTGGAGCAATCCCTGTGAGGCTCCTTGCTCCAGTGCCCCCGTCGCTTCCAGCGCAGAGTTGCACCTCTCGACCACAGACTTGGGAACAGCACACTTGGGGGGGGATTTAGGTTTTTAATTATCTTTTTCTTAAAACGAAGGCACTATAACACTTACAAAAGCCATCAGGCTGCTGGGTGGGGAAGAGAGAAAATGCTGATACATTAAATGCAAGAGGAAACACTGTTACACTGCAGGCAGGTAGGACCCAGCTACTCTGCCTCACGGGTCTAAGACACTTCACAAAAGCACGAGGCCGTTGGGGAAACAAGTCCAGAGGAGGTTCAAGTGGGGCTTCACCAAATACCTCCCTTCTCACAGGCCCCCGGAAGAGGGAATCGGACACAGACGGTCACTGGCAGGCGGAGCGCGCGGGCGTTAATCGTCCACGTCAATCCTGATGGGACCCCCCGTGAGGAGGTGGTTCGCTACATGGCCGGGTGCCTCCTCCTCCTCGTCCTCCGCGAGGGCTGCCCTGCGCATCCGCCTGCGGCAGCCCTGGGCGCAGCGGGAGCTCTCGTCCAGCGCCCCGCACACGAGGATGCGGCAGTGCAGGAAAACCTCCTGCGGGCGGCAAGACGGCAGCAGAGTCAGCGCGCGGCAGGAATCTTCGGGAGAAGGCAGGAAAACGGCCAGAGCGATGCGCGGCACTGGAAGCACAGGAGGAAGCAGGCCAAGACCCCGGGAAGCCTCACGTGGAGATGGATTGATGGAAACGTGCAAGTGTGTGACATGTGCTGAGAAAACCCTTGGAGATAGAAGGCTGAGGGGCAAAAGCACAGACCGACGAGGGGCTGAGGCTGGCAGCTGAAATGAGGAGAGTGCAAAGGCCGTGGAGACGGCTGCCTTTTCTGCACAGCAAGGCACACGGTGTGGGACTGCTGCTCCCTGCCCTCTAAACGACGAGAAGAGCAAGCAAGATCCCCGCAAGCCACGGTTAGGGATGCAAATATTTGTGAAAGCGTGGTCAACAGCAAGGTTTGAAGCACAGCGTGTTGCACAGTCCCCTGAAGGGGTGCCATGGAGGCAGAAGCAGCAATCAGAGGGCCAAAGGAATCAGTGAATTTGAAAAGATTTCAATCCTTTTAGCCCTCCTGAGGCTCTGCAGCTAGTACTGAGCATGACAATGATGATTCAAAGACCTGATTTTCTCCAGCATGAAAGAAAAAAGCTATTTGCGTTAGGAAGGCAGTGTTACCCTTCAGCTGTCCTCCCACTACGGCGCCTCTGCCCCAAAATGTGGCTTCACACTGAGCTAACCAGCGTGGTGCCCTGGTACCTGGAAACCTGCAGGGCCTTTGGGGCTCCGAGAGCCCGAGGAGACAGGCAGCTGAGGGGAAGCAAGCTACAGAGCTGAACGGTGCTTTCGGAGCTCACCTTGTTGTCTTTGCCCACGAACTTGAAGACGGGGACCTGGAAGTGCTTGGCAAGATGGTCCTTGGACGTGTACTGTTTCACTGACTCATCAGAAACGCAGCTGTGGAAAGCAAAGGGACGGGCTTTAATGGGCTTCCCAGAAATGGAAAAACAGGCAGGAAAGAAAGAAATCTCAGCTATTTAACTCAAAAAAGAAAAGGAGAGTTTGGCTCTCCCTGGCTAAGCTACCATCCGTGCTACTTCCCCTTTGGTCACAGCAAAAAATTCGGGAATGACGGGGTAAAACCGAAGGTGAAGCTGATTGTGTCTCCAGACAAAGAGCAGCTCAGCAGCGGCGCTGGCGGATGCGGCCAGCCCCTTCGGCAGAGGGCTGCCAGAGAGCTGCAAATTTATCCCCGTTTCACCCTCCCTTGCTACAGTCCGCAGTGATCAACACCACTCTTCAACATCTATAATGTACTAGGTGTATACGGGCCACATAATGATGCTTAAAATGAAGGAGCCTTTGCCCATGTTACTAAAATATTAGGCCACCTAAAATATTAGGCCACCTTAACCTCCTCTGCTCAGATCCACGGCAGCTCATAACGGAGCACCACGGATTGCCCACAGCGGCCTGGCCTTGCTCCAGATACCCCAGAGAGCTGCAGTGTTTGTCATCCAGGCAACCTTTTATCTATTTTTCTTTGGAGAAAGCAGAAGGATGGGAGCAGAGGAGGGAAAACTGGTGCTGGGGTGGTCCAGGCTGGACGCAGAGGATCGGGGCAAATCCCCATTGGCAGCTCAGTGACAGCCCTTCCCAGCAGCAAGAGGAAATTCCCGTTGCCTCCAGCTAAAGTCTATCCCCTCGATGAAGGAATTTATGTAGAATTTCACTCTGGAGGTGTTGGCTGCCGTTAACTCCTGCAGATCAGATGCTAAGGAACCAAACTGATTAGAAACCTCCTGGTTATTGCCTGGGGCTTTAGGGGCTGGGCTGGCGGCAGGAAAACAGGCTATTACAGAACTCTTTGGAGCAGGGCGAAACCAGCAGCGGCTTCAGCTAATTTCACTTTTTAATGAGCAAGAGCCATTAGCCTCTGCTCTGGGCGAGCAGTGCAATCAAAACGCAGAGCACGGTGAGGGCCTGGATAACGGGGCTGGATCAGCGCCAGGCAGCGCGGTCCAGCCCGCTTCTCCTTTCCGTGAAGTTTTAATGCCCTCTGCAGGATAACTGGACCAAAGGGGCTGTCCCTGCCAGGAGAAAAAATGTGTTTTACACAGGGCTCTCAAGCCTGTTTCTGTTCAAATCCCCCAGCTGCTGCTCTGGCGGATGGACCAAGTCACATCTGCGGCTTTCTCTTGTTATTCAGCTCAGGTTTTGACCTCTGTTCCGAGTCCCCGTCTTTTTCCCTTGGCGTGGGAAACGAATGAGTGCTTGGAGTCTGAAGGCAGAGCCAGGGAGTCGGTAAATCAAACCTCTCACTACCAGCCTGTTCATGAGCTGCAGGAACGCCTGGCCCACGAGAACTGCAGCCTAGGACGGAGGGAGGACGAGGCGCTGCGGAGATCCTTGTCCCAGGGCAGCTGAAGCAGCGTCCTGCACCCTGCAGGACAATCCCATGGGATTTGTCAGCAGCAGCTGCACTGGCAGATGACTGAGCCTGGCAGCTGGAGAAATATGGTTTTCCTTATTATATAGCCAGGGAAACAGAACATGGTACTGGCATGAGCAGAATCCCTTTATTGCTGGGCTGGGAAGCATCAGAGAGTGAGGAGGGAAAGGGGAGCTCCAGCCGTGGGGTCTTTTGGCTTCTGCTATAGAAAGGCCACTACAGGGAAAGAAAAAGCGGGGAGTGGTCAACTCACCCATCTTGAATCAGGTAGTACTTCAAGATCTCATCAATTTTTGAGGTGGGGGTGGCAAAGCAGCTCTCGACCAGGGTCTCCAGGCCACTGACATGTACCAAGGGCTCGATGCCGAAATACAGCGAGTCCCGAAGCTTGAGGGTGGGAAGGGAGTCCCTGTACGGCTCCTCAAACTCCTTGTCTTTGAAGATCTCCAGAGTGAAGGGGAAGACGCCTTGGTTGCGGCCCATGATTTCCAAGGGGGAGTTCCTGAGGTTGGGCACGTAGCCTTCGGAGATGGTGTAGCGGCGCGGGAACTCGCATGTCACCGGGATCAGCAGCTTGCTGGTGCGGACGATGATGTCCCCGTTGCTGCCCGGCGTCTGCTTCGGCAGGCCTGTCACCAGGTTGGTGGCAATGATTTTGTCATTGATGACCTGCAGCGAAGAAGGGGAGTTAAGAGGAAGGGGAGGCCACCCTTGGAGAGAAGCACCTCTCCGAGGTCACCTCGCTCGGGAAGGTCACTAGCCTTCACAGGCTCCCGAGGAGCAACGGGTGTACGTACGTCTACGATAGTGCCGCAGGACTTCAGGGAGAAGTGGATGTTGACGTGGGTGCCGTTGGATACTCCTTTGCAGGAAGTGTTAATGAGGGAGAGGTCCAGGCCTCCGACCAGGTCCTTTGGGATGCTCACCTCAATAGAGCTAGACTTGCACAGCACTGGAACTACAAGAAACGTTCCCACAATAACAATAAACACTCTGTATCTGCCAGGGGCCAAGGAAGGGCTCTATTTACTGTTATTGAGGGGAAAAAAGAGGATACCGCATTTATTATTTGTCTATCTTTTATCCCCATCCATGCAACACAAACTGATCCACCACTACCCAAATTCTTCTGGTCCTGCCCCAACAGATGAGGACCACTGCGCTTGCAACAGCAGCTTGGCTATGTAGTATTTTGAGCTATATTTTATACCCAGCAAAGGTCTGATTGATGCTTCTAGCACTGCTATGTCCTGGAGAGAGTCTTTTCCAGACATGGATATCAGATCCATAACACCCCAGGCAAAGGCATTCTTCAAAAGCCCTTTAAAAGGGCTCATCAGATCGAATACAGACATCAAATCCAGAACATGCCAAAACAAGGCAGGGTAATTCCATATAGGTACCCATCCAAAACAGCAGCAGCCTGAACGGTTGTATTTCTATATGCAACAAACTTATCTCTGACCTAAGCAATCTCAATTAGCTAATTCCACTTCCCTCCAATTTCCTTTCAATTTTCATAAAACAGATTTCTGTGTGAGCTCTTTTTTTTTTTTTAAAAAAAAGATGATTCTGTTACATAAAAAAGTGGGACAAGAAGAAGTGATTGGACAAAATGAAACAGGAAATAAGAGGGAATAATTTTCAATAAAAAAGAAAAGTAAATGCAATATATATCCCTTGTGCCCGTGCATGGCTCTTCCATTAGACTCATGGCAAATGTTCTTCTGCTCACAGTCTGGTCCCTGCTCAGATGGAAAAACAAAACCCCTCCAGAATTACATCATTTGGCACAGCTTAAAAATCACATGAGCAGGTACATTTTTTTTTTTGCACCAAAATCTTCTTTTTTCACCAAGCTCTTTTTTTTTTTCCCTAAACTCCCAATCCTTGGCAATCCCTGATAACCCTGTGTCCCAGCAAAGGTATTTTTAATGGCTCCCATGCACCTGCAGGGAGCAGATGTTAACAGAGCCATCGCTTCCAAGGGGTTACGCTCAACAGCACGTGGTATGCCCAGAGCAACACGCTCTCCCAATGCCATGAGGATGGAAAATTCAAGGAAGAGGAAGTCCCTTCACTTTTACTCCATTAGCAAGCATGGAAAACTGAGCGGAGCTCAGAGGAGGCAGTGCTGCACAAAAAGGCTGAACACAAGCAGAGAAAAGGCATTTCAGCATCGCGCTGCAGGAGGAGGTGGGCTACCAGGGAAGGGGAAGAGTTTGCAAAATTTCCAGTGCTTCTTTGGCTGGTGTCCCCGTGTGCAAATCGCAGCCGAGTCATCGATTTCTCTGCAAGAAGATTGATATTTGCCCTGAGCAACGCTGAGGTAGTGCAGGGGAGGGTTGATAGGAAGCAGATCCAATTGCTTCAGGCAACTGGGTCTGCCCTGCACTCTTAATTACATCACTTGATTAGATGCCATAAAAAATCGCACTGGTACAGCTCCAGATATATTCTCTCATATATATATATATCTGCTTACTACTGCAGACCACTGGGTAGGGCCATAAATTCACAAAATATGAGACAACAAGTGATCCTGCTTTATGAGAGGCAGGACCACAAACCAGCCCCGCTGCCACTCGTGAGCAGCCTTGTGGAAGGTTGTTCAAGGAAAACGCTGCCCTTGCCCCGACTCGGCACAACCAAGCAGGGATTTTTGGACACTATCCTGGGTGCTTTTCCAAGGGACAGCAGAAACGCTCAATATCAGAACTAGCCCCCTGCTTTGGAGACATGGAAATGCTTCCTGGAATGACTGGGCAGATATTTAACCCGAGTGACAGATGCTGCACTCTGTAACATCGCTCTGGGAAGCGACCGACCCCTTTTAACTGAAATTAAAAAGACCAAGTTTGAGGCATGGAAAATTTCAGCTCTAATGGCAAAAAAATGGCAAAAGCACACACAGCTGCAGCAAAGCAATAGAAAGGGGGATGTTAAGCAATCTTAATTGTAAGCGATGGTGGCCAAAACTGCCTGTGATGCAAAATGCACTCAGCAGGGTCCCTGCCTGGCTTCCACTCTCCTGTTTGGTGTGAAAAAGAGCCATGGCTGCAGGCATTCAGTTTGGGACGGTCTCTCATCCCCAGCAAAGCTGCATTAACTAAACTGGAAAGGAGAAACTAAGGGAACACAACAAGAGCAAGAAGCAGAAGTGCAGGGGATGAATGAGACACACTATCACCTCTCACCCAAACCCTCCAGGAGCGACGTCCCTTCCAAAGCTCGTCTTCACCCAGCACTTTTGTGGACTTTTGCCCTGTTCCAGCATGGGCTGACGCACGGACTCACCTTGGCAAGTGTGATTATCTTCGGACAGCACCAGTCCCCGCGGACACTCGCACTGGTACGAGTCTCCCACTTCCACGCAGCTATGGCTGCAGCCTCCGTTGTTGTTGTGACAGCCTTCAATTTCTGCAAAGGACAGGCAAATCTTTAGGAAAGAGGCAGCAGGGTGAGAGCTTGCTTCCAGAAAGTGCTGTGGAAGCCTGTATTTACTGTGCAATTGCATGTGGTTGCCATTTCGCCATGAAGTTAACAAGGGATTCAGAGAAAAAAAAGCTTACCACATTAAATCATTCGCTATAAATCACTTCAACGAGAAGGCTGAACAGGCAACCTTCAGCTTTGCCCTTTCCAGCTTCTGAAACATTCCCTTAATCTGTATTTTTATGTTGTTTCTTACTTAAAAAAAAAAAACAGGCAGGGGAGAGGGGATGATTTCCTTGAATTTCTACCCCATGAAAACATATTTGCTCTAGCAGCAGGAAAGAGCTCAAAAACACCCTCCACGTGTGTTCTCAAAATGTGAAAACCTAGGGCAAAGAAGCCTGTTAGCAGTTGTTGTTGGCCTTCTATTGCAAAGAATATAAGGAAGGAAATATTATGATTTCTTCTTCCTTTTTTAATAATCTTCAATGCTTGATTTTTCTAGTCATCTGGGATGAATACTGCTAGATGTTCTCCGCAAAACAGCTGTAAACACAACATACACAAACCATAAAGACAGAATATTTCTCCCTAAGCTAGACACCAGCAATAACTGTGTGGTTTTAGATGCAATGCAAAGAAAACAATGGAAATCCCACACTCAGTCCTATAGCTGGCATGGCAAGCAGCAGCCTGAACGCTCCATGTGAGCCAAAGTAACAGGTAAAACATTATAAGAGAAATTTTCGAGATTAATTTAACCTTATTTGGGGCCACCAGCTATACATATAATTGCTAATCATCATCACGATGCAATCAAGAAAATCTCTTGCTTTCGCTCCCCTTAGCGACAGCTGGGAGGTGATCCACAAGTAAATCACATACTCTAATGGCTAGCAAAGCTGAGGGCACATCTTTAGAAATAAAAGCTACTAACGAGATGGTAAAAATCCCCAGTAGCAGTATTAAATGCAGGAAAAGCACCGTCCCTTTTACGGGAGAGGAAATGAAAAGGTGTATTCATTAAAAGGTGTAACAGAAAAAGCCCAAATGCAGCCCTCATCCTAACTCCAGCAGCAGCTTCCAGACTAGCTCCCTCTTCCCTCAAACTATTCTGGGAAGCAACGAGATCCTCCCATCCCAGTCTAGACATTACCCCAAACCTAATGCTGTCAGAAATGAGCAATCAGCACAGTGCAACTCTCATCCAAATCATCCAAATCTCCCGAGCCAAACGCTGGCATCCCCAGCTGCTACAGGCTCTGTCTGGACAAGCAGGCTTCTAGGCGCATTGCTGCCTCTCGCCCTCGTGGGGATAAATAAAAGCGAAGGCTAAAAGTCACGGACGGGGCAGGGAGAACAACAAGGAGACTTTGTTCTCTTCAATCAGAAACATGCTTCAGTAATAACCTCATTGGCAAGCATGGAAGCGATGGGACTTCCCACCTCAGCTGCCAGGAGTCGAGAGAGAACCAGTGCTGAGAGGGGTGGGAAGGGATTTACCCCATTTCCAGCTGGCTGGGGCATCTTTGCCCCTTCTCCTCCTCCTCACCTTCGCAGGCTTTCCCGTCGCGCCCCAGCGTGCGCCCGATGCCGCACTCGCAGCGGTAGGAGTTCTTCAGGTTAACGCACAGCTCGCTGCAGCCTCCGTTCCCCTGCTCACACTCGTTCTCATCTGCAAAAACCCCACAGTGCATCGTTAATGTGCTCCTGGGGAGCACGTGGCTGGGAAAACGGGATGGGAGCGCAGGCGTGGAGTAGTTTTCCTGGCTTCATGACCTGCATGTGGGTAAGAGAGAGTTGTACTAAGTGCTGCAATGTCCTGGTGCGAGCAGAGCATCCTGCCATACCTTAGTGGCCCCGAGGGAAAACGGGCACACAGACAGCAGCCATTCCAGAGAGGAGATGGACACAGTCCTGCGGGGAAACTTCCACTGGGAAAACCAGTTGCAGGTGCTGAGGAAGTTCATGTTTCCATTTACCTTCTCATCCTAAGCTCCTTCCTTGTTTTACTTGCAAAGAGCTAAAAGAGTTACCATGATTTCACTGTGTGATAAAAGGAGGCGAGTATCTAGGTTTGGAATAACCTTGAAACAGGCCTAAAGTGAGTCCTCACAAGCAATTTACCCATGAGCAGAACCTGTGTCAGTTCCTGTGCTGGCTGCATCCAACTCTAGATTAGAGCCCTCCAGGGTGCCAACAGGATTTATTGAGAGAGAAAAAAAGGAGAGAAGAGGCTTTTGAATCTTTTGGTAAAGCTCAGAACATTCCCCCTAATTTTCTCTGTTTTAAAGGTTGAAGTTCCTCTACGCTTTTTGAAAGGTACTTTGTTCTCTCAGATTCTCATTCTTCAACCTGATTTAATCTCTGTCTGCAGGCAAAATGGGAATCAGAGAGGAGAAAGGAAGGGGAAGGCACTGCTGCTGCCGTACCACAAAAAAATGAGGCTTTTTCTTAGGCAGGAGGCGATGCTGAGGTTCACACAGGCTTTCACCAGAATACCTTTGAAGTGACCAGGTGGCAGAAGCTCTGCAGCACCCGGCAGGTTCTGCCCGAGCGACTTCAGTCCCTCCTCTCCCACAGCAGTGACTCGTGGCACTTCTGCATCACAGGTTGGTTTTCTCGAGGCCGGCTTGAGAAGGAACTGATTTTAACCACGACTCAGCTGGCTGGCCCAGGACGCCAAGTCTAAGACCTGACCCTAAGCCCTTAGGTGAGCTTGCAAATGAACAGGTAAGTTTGGATCAGCAGTTCTGCGTAGTCAAAGCCTATAAGGTACCAAAGAGAAGGTAGCCTAGCACAGGAAGGTTCACACACACAGCGTCCAGGGGGCTGGAAAAAGAATAAGCCGAGAGTTTTCAGTTGTGAAATGCTCATCCTGCCGGGAGAGATTTACAGAAATAAAGATCTGTTCTAGGCAGCAAGGGGGAAAACTCAGCTCCGTCATTTTTCTCCTTCCTTATTCTGCTTTTTAAGACCATAGACTAAGATGGGAGCCAGAAAACAAAAGGGAAGGAAAGCAACAGTAACAGACCCGACTTATTTCTGTCCTTACCAAGACAGGTCTGTCCATCGGGTCCCAGCGTCGTCCCTGGGGAACAAGTGCAGTCATTGGTATCCAAGCAGGAGCCCTGGCAATCCACCACATCGCAAATGTCGTAGAAATCTAGGGCACAACAAGAACGTTGTCAACACGAGCCACTGAGCACGCACACCGACATTACTGCCCTTGTGCCATCAGCTCCATGGCTGCATCCCGTCCAGCAGCCACAGAGCGGGCACACGTTAGGAAAGCTAAACTGCTGAAGCGGATCAGAAGCACCCAGCTCACTCATTGAAAGGTATGGATGCAAATTTTGGCTTTGGCTGCATGCCAGGAGAAATGAGAGGGCCCTCAGCAAAGGCTGAGCCGTCACAGCCGGCTCAGCTCCGCGAGCCGCTCTGGGAGCTGCTTCAGTGAAACTGTCTCATCACCCAGGGCACCCCCTAGAATCATAGAATCATAGAATGCTTAGGGTTGGAAGGGACCTCTAGAGATCATCTAGTCCAACCCCCCTGCACATGCAGGGTCACCTAGAGCATGTGGCACAGGGCTGTGTCCAAGCGGGTTTGGAAGGTCTCCAGAGAAGGAGACTCCACAACCTCTCTGGGCAGCCTGTTCCAGTGCTCTGTCACCCTCACTGTTAAAAAATTTTTCCTTAAGTTCCTGTGGAACTTTTGGTGCTTCAGTTTGTGGCCATTACCTCTAGTTCTGTTGGTGGCCACCAGTGAAAAGAGGCCAGCACCATCCTCCTCACTGCCTCCCTTGAGGTACTTCTAGACACTGCTCAGGTCCCCTCTCAGCCTTCTCTTCTCCAGCTGAACAGGCCCAGCTCCCTCAGCCTCTCCTCATAGGGCAGATGTTCCAGGCCCCTGATCATCCTTGTAGCCCTGCGCTGGACTCTCTCCAGCAGCTCCACATCCCTCTTATACCCTCTTATACCTCACCCCCTGCCCCGGGTGAGAGCTGCTCCCTGCCCCGGGAAGCGGGTGGGAGGTTCACGCGGCAGGAGGGCCCCGAGCAGCTCCTTACGGCCGCAGTAGGCGTGGAAGCAGACGCTGGGCTTGCCCAGGCGGTACACGTAGTAGCCTCCCGGACAGGCCTTCACGTCCACGGTGCTGTTCCACAGGCAGCAGTCGCCGTTGAAGCTGGCGCACGCCTGGCGCGCCACGACGCCGTCGGCCTCGCGCGGGTGGCTGCCGTTGAGCCAGATGGGCGCGTGGGTGCCGCAGTGGTTCTCGGCGATGCAGAAGGTGGGCATGGCGTCGCCGGCCATGCCCGTGAAGCGGTACCACTCGCCGGCCATCTGCCCATCGCAGGCGGGCTGCCCGTGCGAGGCGTTGATCTGGTGCTCCGTGTTCCTCCAGGGCTCGTTGAGGCTGATGTAGGCAGAGCAGGGGTCCAGAGCTGCGGGGCAGGGGGCAAGAGAGAACAGCTGGTAAATGGCAAACCGAGCCGCCGACCGAGAACTGCAAGAAAGGCAAAATAATTTTCCATTCGTGGCTTAACAGGATCTTTCTGATAGACAGCCCTGAGGAGGAAGAGCGAGAGCAGCTAACTAATTGCCTCGTGGAAAATTCTGACAGCTTGGCTTAAATGTCTTGGAAGAAAAAGCAAACTAACAGAGCTTTTACAACATTAAGCAAGTCTGGCTTGCTCTTAGGCTGCTGTAGAGCATGACAGGAGAATATAGATATATATATATAAGCAAACGTGAATTCCAGGGGGGGATTTTGCCATGGGAAATATGTACTGGGAGCACTACTCAAGCCCGGGACAACCACCAGGTGCTAAGCGAGCATCTGCAAGCCTGTCCCTAAGTCACTGGTAACTTCTGCCTTGGAGAAGAGACTGAGATGGTTCTGCAGCCCCTCTAAAAATCCCCCCCGAGCTCACTGCAGCTCTCGCAGTCGCTACAGGCACAAGGCAGAGATCGCCTGGCAAAGGAACAGCGAAGACGCGAACTGCAAGATGCACAACAGGGATTTTCCTAAAGGACAAGAGCATTTTGGTTACGGTCCTTATGGCCCTGCATGGTTGTAAGCACCGTTACCATCTCCTCTTCATTTCGGGACCCAATTTCAAACAGCTGAGCTCAAGAACTGCCATCCCAGGCCCAGCAGCCACATTCCCTGCGAGTCCGCGGACCCTCCTCTTCGCCGTGCAGAGCAGATGTTTGTGCGGGAATGTGTGGGCAGGATAGAAGCAAACGGACCGGGTGGCATCATCATGCAGCGCTTAAAGAGCTCATCCCTTTCAGAAGCCTCTCTGAACCTCCTGCAAGCAATTAAAATGGGACACCACCACGGGGAATGGGACACCAAAAAAAAAAAAAAAGAGGAATTAAAGCATTCCTTACCTATTCAGCCTTCTCATAATTAACCCTGATTTGGCAGCTTCCTCACCAAAAGTCAAGAGGTTACGTTTTCACGTATGTTTAATACCTTATTAAGCACTACTTACCCGTGACTAGCTACTCCCTATTAAGCGAAATGAATGCTAATATTGCCTCGAGTAAGGAAAATTGATTGCCATTTGCTAGAATTAGGCTAATAGAAGCAATCACTCTAATTAAATCCATCTCAACAGGCTGGGGACTGGCACATTGTACTTTCTGTGCTACATTTCTCCAAGTTCCAGAATTACTCACAACGATTGCACTGTTTAAACAACGAGGTGATGCAATCTGGGGAAAAAACAGACATTGCATCGTCTCCAGTCAGACACTCCAGATGCAGACAAATCTTGGTGCAGGATTTTGATGTGCTTCACTGACTTGGGAACTAAATGTTTTGGGGAAGGGATTTCACGGCAGCCTTATGTAGCTCCCTCTGCAAATACCTGCTACCTTGTACCTTCTCACCAACACACGAGCTCTCTCGGCCAACATCCTAACACCATCCTTGGCCACGGCTATATTTTCTTTGGTGTTGAGTCCAGCATAAAAGAGAGCTGCAGGAGACACGAGAGTGCTGCAGAGCTGCAGGGTGGCAGAGAGAAAGCAGGGTTGGGCTATGAAGGAAATCTCTAGCACCATCTCTAGCACTGCAGATTTACTCCCAGCAGCAGCAGTCGCTGGCTCTGCTGAAGGGCAGCGGAACCCGTAGAGAGACCCTGGTGAGGTCCTCGATTCCTGGCTGCTTTACCTTGGCTACTCCTGGCTGCTTTACCTTGGCTATTCCTGGCTCCCCTCACCACTGCTGAATCCCATCCTCCAAAGGGCTCCTTGACCTCTCGGACAGCAAGAGATGGGCGATTTGCTCACAGCTGCAGAGAGCTTCCTCTGCGCTTCCCTCATTTCAGCGTGCTTGGGTGCCGTGGTGTGATCTGGTTTGGGTTTTTTTTTGCCAAACACTGAAGATTAAAAGGGTCTTTTTTTTTTTTTTTTTTTTGCATTAAATGCCAAACAAGGCAAAGCGAGGAAGCCCCGGCAGCGTCCCAGCTGGGCAGCACCAGAATGCTCTCGCTGTCGTTCACGCAGCACAATTAACTGATGCCACATCCTTTTGCAGGCAGAATCTGCAAACGCTCAGCCAGGGGGGTTTTATTGTCTCCTAAATGGACAGGAGATAATTTAAAGGCAATATTTGCTGAGATGAAGATAGAGTGGCTCGGGAAGAGCTAACACAAGGCATCCCAGGGAAGGGGGGAGCGCGCCCTCCGCGCCTTCGTGTCTCCGGAGGAGCAAGGCAGACAGGCAGCAAGGGCAGGCAGTGCTTTGTCAAACACTGCAGGCCTTGGCAGCCTGGGCACCAAGCACCTGGGTAACACAGTTCACGGAAAACTCCTTTTTCTTTCTTCTTTTTTAAAGAAAAAAAACGGAAGAAAAGGGGACCAATCAGTATTTGTCTCTCTCCTCAAGCAGCGAAAGCAGGGGAGCTTTGCACGGGGTATACAACAGTCTCCAGAGCTCTCAGTTTTTCATTTTTCTTGGCTCAATTTCTTTTTTTTTTTCCCTCCCCAACACTTTCTGCTTGGCCTGGGTAACGCAGCAGGACAAGCGCACTTGCTATCATGTAAAGTCACTCGAATTGTAATCCTGATGATATCATTAATTCCCGGATAACAGATCAGACTCTAATAAGTATTTGTAAGTCTGCCGTTCTACAGAAAGGTTAATCCTGTATATATTGTGTCCCTGCAGGTCTCTGCTCTGACCAGAATAAGCAATAAATTAAGCAGCACTGCATTGTGGCCCTGAATTCAGCTGAAATTTGCCAAGTGAGGGGGTGAAAAACGGCATGGAGTTTCTTTCCACTGCTAAGGGAGAGGAAAATCCCCGGTGCTTTAAAGACCTTGGCAGTAGGGATTCTTGTAATCTGGGTTCTGCAACACAATGTTCTTCTAAAGGGAAGGAATTTTGCACCATCACATTTTTCTTGCGTGCCAGGTTTTCACCTAAGCACGTTCCTTAAAGGTGGTGAACAGAAATAAGCTAGAAGGCAATGCCCTCTTTACTCACCCATCGAAGACACTGGCTGCAACTGGACAACAAAGCAGATAGAGAAAAATAAGTACTGGAACATCCCACTCAGCCAAGGAACGGTTGCCACTCAAGTAAGAGGCTGGAAAACCCTCGCACGCACTGCAGCTCCTGCAGTCCTCCTCTCGGGGAAGCTTCTGGCCAGCACTGTGATAGGTCTCCTGGAGGTTTATCAGAGGAAGAAGCTGAAGAAACAAGGGGTACAGGCCCAGCCTTGACCTTCTGCGAGCAGCTCTGCCCCTTACTGACAACAGAGATGTTCTTACTGATCGATTTTGTTTTTGGACTCAACTCCCTATTGTTTTCTCACCGGGCTGCCCCATAGTGACACCTCCACTATCTTATCCGGGGAGGAATTCTAAGCAGGGGACACCCGGACATCCCGGGGGGATAGAGAAGCACAGATTGGTGCTGGTTATCTCTGCTCCTTCCACAAGTCATAGGACTTCACGGCTTCCCCCAGCCACAAAACACCAGCTCGGGAGCCTTAACTACAGGAAATAGTGGCCAGAGAAGTGAGGCTTCTGAGCAGAGATTGCAGGCGAGCGCCTCGAGCTGCGCTACAATGGGAACATCAGTCAAAGTGAAGGAGCGGTGTCCCGCCGGGAAACACTGTTCCCAGGTTAGACAAAGACCCTTTCCCCTCCTGGTCATCTACCACCAAGTTTAATAAAGAAATTTTCCTGCCGTGGCCCTGTGCAGCACTCAAAATGCCCTCCAAAAACAACATGCAAGAAGTGCTGAATTTGCCTTGAGGCAAACTAGAAAGAATTGAAACCTCTAGGATCTGTGCTGGACAAGACACACGAAGACACCCCAGCAGTGGAGCTTTTTTCTTTTTTTGTGCTGAATGACTCCAGAGGATGATGAAAGAAGCTGTATAAAGATCTGTCATTGCTCCTACCAATGAAAGAGACCTCTGCAGTTAAACTGTGCTGACAACTGTGCAGTACCAGTCATTTTTTTTATACATCACAACAGGAAAGGAGAACACATCCATTATATGCAAAGCTAGCAGGACAGATAACACTCAAAGGTGATTATGAGAATTCCCAGAAGAGAAACTAAAATTGAACAGAAAATAACACAGGGAGCCACAGGAAGTTGTAGTTTGCTATTTTCATTCAGAGGTTGATTCATACTTAGGATCTTGGGTAAATAAAAATGACGAGTTTGAATCGAGTTTTCTCCCTGTGCTGGAGGTGTGTGCTCTCTGGCTGCTTCACTACCAGCTCTTTTCATTTCTGTAGGTGGTGCTTTAGGTCTAACCTTACTAACGCTTTGACAGCTGACAACACACAGAAATAAACTGCATCCTAACCCCCTCTCACACAGCCCCAAGGGCCTCACAGCAGTTCCTGTCAGGTTCTCCAAGAAGGACTGAGAAAGGAGAGGCCTCAGGATGCCCCAAGCTGACGCTTCCAAATGCTCAAGGAAAAAGTCCAAAGCTACAGCGGATTCGGTGTGCCACCTCCGAGCACCCTTGGGATCCGCAGGGAAGAGTGGAAAGCACCAGAGGCAGCTCTTCTGCTTTGCATGGTGCCTCAGGCGCCGTGTGGCACCTACGCGGCCTCCAGGGGTGGAAGTCTCAAGCCCAACGGAGGGCCCTGCATGTTGTAGGGCGCTGCTGGTTTGTAACGGATCAGGGATTCAAAACCCTGGAGTTTTTGCCTCAATGGGTCTTTTCCCTTCGGCAGAGCCACCTCCCAAGATACCCGCCTGTCCGGAGGGAGCGCGTTGGGGAAGGCCCGTGCAGCAGGAGCGTAACGAGCGGGGCTGGAAGGGGCAGGCGGAAGGGCTAATCAGCACTTCCCGCCGCCCAGGGCCCGGAGAAGCCAACAGGATCCCACCCGCGACGGAGCGGAGGATGCAGGTTTACAATGAGCCCTGACAGGCTGCCAGATGGATTGCGAGAATGTCAAGGACGCCCAGATAGCTCTGGCCTCTGTAAACAGCTCGTCCCGGGAGCCGGGGCCGGCGGGAAGGGCTGTTGGGATCCGGAATGTGGGGTTGGGTGAAGCACGAGCATGTTTAACAAGAGAGAAAGTTTCAAAACCAAGAGCATATTAATATTGAACACAAGACTCCCAGGAGCAGATATTACCTCCTTGCACTTATGGGAGCCCTGTGATGCTGAATTTGAGTGTGTTTTTCCAGAGGTCTTGCAGAATCCAGTATTTTTCCATGATCCTCAATTTGCAGATGGAGAAATCAAGGCACAGAGATAGAAAAGCTGTTATTACTAGGCCAGTCAGCAGCAGGAACAAGGGCAGAGCCCATCTCCTACAAGGTTACAGAGTCACAGCTCCACATCCTAGCACCAACACCTCTAATTCTTCAGGACTATAATATACAGCAAGTTTAATTTCCATTTCCACATCCCAATTCTCACCCCTTAAGTGTCAGTATGGAAATAAAACTTATTATTTAAGAGGAATAACTGGAATCTCTAAGGGTAGAAATATATTTAAAATATGAAAAAGCTTCTTAGAAAAGAGATGCATGCAATGTGGCAAACAGCATTGCAAAAACAGCACTTCAGATTTACAGTTCCACACAAAAATGCAAAGAAGAGAGAAATAAAGTGTCCCGCTCACTCGGAGGTGCTTTGCAGAGCAGCCAGCTCCACGTGGCTGATATATCACAAAGATCTGAGGCAACGCCAGTTTCAGCGTGTTGTGCAAACCCTCCTAGACCCGACATGGAAAAAGAGCAAGGACTTGCACAAGGTAATCACCACCACTGCTTGTCAGGCAGGAAAAGCTGCAGGGAAGGACAGAAACTTCTTTTTATTTTCTTAAAAGAGCAGAGAGCATGAGACCTCCATCTAGAAAGGCTTGCAAGTTAAGACCTTCCAAGCACAGAAAAAAAAACAACCTAATAAATTTCTCTGGATAACTACACATTTTACGTGTATTTATTTGAAAGCTCCCTAGCATAAAGGGAGGGAAGAGAGGTTCAGCTCAAGAAAAAATGGAATTGGAAGGAAGCGACACACGGTGCCGCTCGTCCTTCCCGGGGCTGCAAGGACGGAGCGCTGCAGTGAGATTCTTGCCTGCTCAGGGCACAGCTGTAGACTTAATTCACTCCTCCTTTCACCCCATCTGCTCTAAAACAGCAGCAAGGCACGTGCAGGTACAACTTCATTACAGTATTTTCCTGCTTTCAGAGTATTTCAGTGGCAGATGTCAAGGTCTCGAGTCCTTCCTGATGCCAATTTGGATCGGTCTTTATGCCACTGCTCCAAGCAGTTGGTCTAGCTCACCTGTAAAGGCAGCTGCTTGGAGGAAAAGGCTTTTTAGTTTTGAACTACATTTCAACAGTGATTAAAGGGAAGTCACTATGACTAGCAAATTACAACCCCTCCCCTCTGTATTAAAATCTCCAAAGAACCCTGGCCAATAATGATGGAAAAGTGCCCAGTAACAGATTTCACAATCGACATGTATCATGACGAAAATCTCCCAGCATCTAACGTCTCATTCTGACACCCTATAAACTTAAGACAAAGTATACCCTCTGCTGATTTCCAGTCTTGATGGATGAAAGATTCAGGGCAAGCCAGACCACAGTCATTCAAGACCCTTAAGAAGGGGAGAAAAATCTTAAAATGTCAATTTTTCTCACTTGAATGCAGCATAGAGCTTTTTAACTCTCACAGCATTTGATATGTTTGAGGTCGCTGGGTATTTTACGCCTGAATATACCTGCAACCTGCCAAGTGGCTCCAGGGTTTGTTAGCTTCCCCAGGGAGCTTTTATGCTGCTCAGCGAGGGTAGACCAAACAACTCTACAGCTACCTCAGCACCTCGACTGCTCCCGAGATCCCTGCGTTAGGCAGCTACGCATGGCAGCGAGATCTCCATCCAAGCTTCTTCGGGAAAGCTATTATCTGTCTGCACCACCACGGCCTCAGTGATGTAAGGTCAGGAAGAAAGAACCTAAACAGAGAGAAATGAAGGAAACTCAGGAGGGAGCTGCCACACGTGCAATAATCTCCCTCAGCTGGGGGAAAATGATGTTATCCAAGGGCACAGATTCAAAAATTGAATAGTTATTTATTGTTCCAGAAGTACATTACTCTTTTATACATATTTCATAAATGATACAGGATTTTACACATGTTCAGTATTTTTTTTTTTTTTAAGAAGGACTTTTCTCCATGCTCCCTCCCTCATCCCAAACACACACCAAGGATTCAGCTACAGGATTTTCTTCTCTTTTTTTTTTTTCCCCTTTAAAACTCATCACACAAACAGAATAAAACAGATAAAAAATAATCACACGTAATTAAATTGAAAGACAGAGGAAAAGGGGGAGGGGGAAAACTAGAAACATGCACCCATTCAGTCCAACATGCCACTGAGTGAGAAGAGGCAGCAATCCCAGCTGTGTTTCCACATCTGCAAGGCACCTGGCGTCTGATTAATACTGATTTTTTTCTCCCCCTTTTTTTTTTTATTTTTTATTTTTTCAGACATGGTTCTCCAAAAAAACTGGAAGCCTCTTGCCATGACACAGTGAGGAGTAGTAGTGAAAGGTCAAAAAAGCAGCCAGCTCTTCTGTGTAGAAAGCTTAGTGTCCTTTTCCTACCTTCATCCTGCCTCCGCAGCATTTAGCAGCAGGATGCTAAAAAAAGAGGCTGACCCACTTTGCATCAAGAGGTGTTTTATCTGCTCAGAAATCAGCCAGTCTTGGCTAGCAGAGAGGGCAACGGGTTGACTTCCCTTCCTCTTTCTTTTAGCTAAGAACAAGAGATGTTATTAGCCACTCCTTAGAAATCCTGACCTGTGGGTGCAAAGTTCACTCGAAGCTACTTAGGGGAAAGTGCCAGTGAACTGAAATTGTTCTGCTTTGCATCGTAGGAGGCCTTGGGCTTTCCCAAAGCCTCCCAACAGGAAAATGTTCTGATCACGTGTGAGACTCTTAATCCTGCTACGCGAGCAGTCAAATAGCAAGTATAATTATTCCATGTTCCAAAACTGTTTGGTTAAGCAGAAGTCATGATTCTGAGGCAGTTTCATAATCCTTTAAGCCTTCATAATTCCATAGTCCAGGTGGCTATCAGATTTGGGGTGGGAAGAGGGAATCTCCCTCCTTTAAGACTGAATATAAAAACT